AATATGAACATCAGGCAGCAAGGGAGAGCTGGGAATTATCACTGCCCTGTGGACTCTGGTGCCCAAAGGCAAATGTTTCCTAAGGGTGAGGCCGGCCTGCTTCTCCATGTGCGTGCGTACGTGTGTGATACCCATGGCTTAATAATCTCAGCCTTCAATTTGTAATCTGATCAGAGCTGTAACACTGGGCAAATAGCAAAGGAAAAACATGACCACATGCTCAGATTGTGCAACTGGCATGTTTGTCCTACAGAGGTTTGCATTAAGAAATGAATTTCCATATACAGTTGTCTGGGAATTAGGGACCTTGGTATCGTAGGCTACATATGGGGGAACGGGAAGGTCAACATTTTCTGTTCCTTGCAACCTGGAAGCAGTTGCTGTGGAAGTATGCAATTGTTTTAGATGTTTATTATTTAATATGTTATTCTTTTAAAAACTGTACGGTTTTAACACTGATGTATTGGCCGCCCTGGGCTCCTTTGTTTTTTTGTTTTTGTTTTTTTTATAAATGATTTTTATTAAGATTTCAATAAAAAGTTAGACAGAAAAACATGGAAAAAAAATACACAAATACACAATACATAATCCAAAAAAAGAAGAAAAACACAAAGAGCAGAAAACAACAAAAACAAACAAACAAAAAAAGCAACAGAACAATTAAAAACAATATCGCCTTTTCATTTCCGTTTTTAAATTTACTTATTTTCTGGACTTCCTCATACCTCCCTCTTTTGTGTTCCAGTCCAAATTGTTTGTCCAGCAATTTCTTTTCCACTTTTTTAATCCCAATCTTTAATCTTAATGTAATTTGGCATTAAAATTTTACCTCTTAAATACCAAATTTCCATTTCATTAAATTTCTTTAATCCTAATCTTTAATCTTAGTCTATCTATAACTTTATCCTGTACAACTGGAAACCACTTATTTTCAATTCAACATCACTCTAACATTCTTTAATTTTGCAGTGTTTCTGTAGATAATCTTTGAATTTCTTCCAATCTTCCTCCACCGACTCTTCTCCCTGGTCACGGATTCTGCCAGTCATTTCCGCCAGTTCCATATAGTCCATCAGTTTCATCTGCCATTCCTCCAGCGTGGGAAGTTCTTGTGTCTTCCAATACTTTGCGATGAGTATTCTTGCTGCTGTTGTTGCATACATAAAGAAAGTTCTATCCTTTTTAAACACCATTTGGCCGACAATGCCCAGGAGAAAGGCCTCTGGTTTCTTGGGGAAGGTATATTTAAATACCTTTTTTAATTCATTATAAATCATTTCCCAGAAAGCCTTAATCTTTGGGCACGTCCACCAAAGGTGAAAAAATGTACCTTCAGTTTCTTTACATTTCCAACATTTATTATCGGGCAAATGATAGATTTTTGCAAGCTTGACTGGGGTTATGTACCACCTGTATATCATTTTCATAATATTCTCTCTTAAGGCATTACATGCCGTAAATTTCATACCTGTGGTCCACAACTGTTCCCAGTCAGCAAACATAATGTTATGTCCAACGTCTTGTGCCCATTTAATCATAGCCGATTTTACCGTTTCATCCTGAGTGTTCCATTTCAGCAGCAAGTTATACATTCTTGACAAATTCTTAGTTTTGGGTTCTAACAGTTCTGTTTCTAATTTTGATCTTTCCACCTGGAAGCCAATTTTCTTGTCCAATTTATTTATTTTTTTTTTTTTATAATATTTTTTATTGCATTTTTCCAGATAGAAATACAAGGTCAGATATACAAAGAAATAACAGAAAAGAGAAAGAAAAGAAGAAAATCATCTTTTCAAAGCATTTTTCCATAACCAACCGGACTTCCCCCCGTCCCCCTCACCTTGCGTTCTTTACAATAAAATTTTTCAGCAAATTATAACCTTATTTCGTGCATTCTTTTGTTCTTTCAAATACTTATGATTTGCGTTTAAAATGCTTATTGTCAATTTACACTAATAATATATATGATGTTCTTTTAAACGTTAGTCCTTTCATTAATTTAGCTTAGTTTCCCATACCTTAATCTTATTGCTGGAGCTGAATTTCCCTAATCGTGCGAATTCTTAACATTCATATAACTTGTAAAATTTTTGTAAATAATCTTTAAATTTTTTCCAATCCTCCTCCATTGCTTCTTCCTCCAAATCTCGGATCCTGGCAGTCATCTCGGCCAATTCCATGTAGCCCATCAATTGCGTCTGCCACTCTTCCAGTGTGGGTAAATCTTGAGTCTTCCAGTATTTTGCGATAAGAATTCTTGCTGCTGTAGTTGCATACATAAAAAGGTTCTATCCTTCTTTAACACCTTCTGACCGACAATGCCCAGTAGGAAGGCCTCTGGTTTCTTGGGAAAAGTGTACTTAAACACTTTTTTAACTCATTATAGATCATTTCCCAGAAGGCCTTCACTTTTGGGCAAGTCCACCAGAGGTGAAAGAATGTCCCTTCAGCCTCCTTACATTTCCAACATTTATTATCAGACAAATGATATATCTTAGCAAGCTTGACTGGGGTCATGTACCACCTGTATATCATTTTCATAATATTCTCTTTCAAGGCATTACATGCCGTGAATTTCATACCAGTGGTCCATAACCTTTCCCAGTCTTCAAACATAATGTTGTACCCAATGTCCTGAGCCCATTTTATCATGGCTGATTTGACTGTCTCATCCTGAGTGTTCCATTTAAGCAGCAAGATATACATTCTCGAAAGTACCTTGGTCTTTGGTTCCAACAATTCTGTCTCTAGTTTCGATTTTTCCACCTGGAAACCTGTTCTTTTGTCCAGCTTAAAACCTCTTGAATTTGAGCATAGTGAAGCCAATTTTGCACCTTATTCTTTAATTTTTCATAACTCTGCAGCCTCCAAGTTTCTCCTACTTTTTCTATAATTTCCCCATATTTCAGCCAACCAACCTCCATATTAGGTTTTTCCGGGCCTTGGCCTCTGCTGGTGAAAGCCACCTCGGAGTCTTACCCTCTAATAAGTCCTTGTATTTTGTCCAGACCATAAATATTGATTTTCTAACAATATGATTTTTGAACATTTTATGAACCTTTACCTTGTCGTACCACAAATATGCATGCCAACCAAAAGCATTATCAAACCCTTCCAGATCTAGAACATCAGTGTTCTCAAGAAGTAACCAATCTTTCATCCAGCAGAAGGCCGCAGCTTCATAATATAATCTCAAGTCCGGCAGGGCAAACCCCCCTCTTTCTTTCAAGTCAGTTAGTATTTTAAACTTTATCCGGGGCTTTTTGCCCTGCCAAACAAACTTGGATATATCCTTCTGCCACTTTCCAAAACATTCCACTCTGTCCACAATCTGTAGGGTTTGAAACAAAAATAACATTTTCGGCAATACATTCATTTTTATAGCAGCAATTCGACCCAACAAGGAAAGTTTCAATCTTGACCAGATTTCCAAATCTTTTTTGATTTCCAGCCAACATTTTTCATAGTTGTCTTTAAATAGATTCAAATTTTTCGCTGTCAAGTGAACCCCTAGGTATTTCACTTTTTTTACCACACTTAGTTCTGTTTCCTTCTGAAACCCATCTATTTCTAAGGGTGTCAAGTTTTTCCCCAAAACCTTAGGTTTTTGCTTGTTCAACTTAAATCCCGCCACCCGACCAAACTCATGAATCAATTCTAATACTCTTTTTGTACTAGACTCTGGCTCCTGTAATGTTAAAACCAAATCATCTGCAAAAGCTTTCAATTTATATTGTTTCGCTCCGACCTGTATTCCTTGTATCAACCGGTCCTTCCTAATCATGTTCAGTAACACCTCCAGGACTGAAATAAATAAAAGGGGGGATAGAGGGCACCCTTGTCGTGTCCCTTTTTCAATTTTAAACTCATCTGTCACCACATTGTTTACTATCAGTTTAGCTTTTTGCTCAGAATAAATTGCTTCTATTCCATTTTCAAACCCCCGTCCCACTCCCATCCCTTCCAGGTTTCTCTTCATAAACATCCAAGAAATATTATCAAAGGCCTTCTCCGCGTCGATGAAAATTAACACAGCTTTCGTATTGATATTAGTTTGTAAAAGTTCCAAAATATCAATAATGTTCCTGGTATTATCAAAAGATGTCTCCCTGGGAGAAAGCCTGCCTGGTCCTTATGAATTACTTCGTTAAGTATTTTTTAAGTCTGCTCGCCAAAATATCAGCAAAAATTTTGTAATCCACATTTAGGAGTGAGATGGGACGGTAGTTCTTAAGCTGAGTCTTTTCAGATTCCAATTTAGGAATCAATGTGATGAAAGCTTCTTTCCACGTTTCCGGTGCCCTCCTCCCCTCCATAATCTGGTTACAGACCTCCATTAGTGGTTGTATCAAATAGTCTTTTAGTGTCTTATAGTACTTGGAGGTAAGTCCATCTGGGCCTGGAGATTTGCCTAGTTGCATATTCTGAATGGCACCCTCTATTTCCTGTCGTGTTATTCTATTATTTAAGATTGTCCTCTTCTCCTGAGATAGTTTGGATAGACCGTTAACTTTTAAGAATTGATCTATCTCAGACACTTCCTGAGGCCCTTGTGTATAAAGTTTTTTTGAAATATTTCTGGAAACACTTTCTAATTTCTTCTGGTTTCTGAATGTTTCTCCCTTCCACCTCTAGATTAGTAACAAAGTTCAATTTTTGTCTCTTTTTCAACTGCCATGCTAGCAGTTTTCCACATTTATTTGCCGATTCAAATGATCTTTGTTTCATTTGTTTGATTTTCCATTCCACTTCTTGATTTATCAATTTCGCATATTGAGCTTGGTGGAATTTGATTTCTCTTAAAACCTCTTTTGATTTTGGTTTTAATCTCAATTTTTCTCTCCTTCTCTTATCTTCTCTAATATCCTATCTTTTTCCCATTCCAAAGTTTTTTCTTGATTGTGTTCTGTTGTATCAGAAACCCCTCATTACAGCTTTACTTGCGTCCCAGATTGTTCTCTTTTCCACCGAAGTGTTCAAATTGATTTCAAAATAGTCCTTTAAAGTTTTTGGGCCTTCTTCACAATCTCCTGATCTCTTAGTAGGGTGTCATTCATTTTCCATCTGAAAGAACCGGTTGGAGTAAGTCTCAATTCCACTTTCAAAGCATTATGGTCGGAGCAAGTCTTTGGACAGATTTCCACTTTTCTGATCTTAGGTGCCAGTCCTCTAGTTGTCCATATTTGGTCGATTCTTGTCCATGATAGGTGGGCCTCAGAAAAGAATGTTCCTTCTTTACCTAAGGGGTTCCTTGTCCTCCAAATATCAATCAAGTCCATGTTATCAGTTAGTTCAAAGAAGGTTTTAGGTAGTCTGCCGTCTTTAGTTAAATTTTGATTTTGTGACTTATCCATGTGAGTAGAAACCACCCCATTCATATCGCCCATCATTATGATGTTGGTATAGTCCAGATAGTCCAGCATTATCTCATGCAGCTTCTTGTAAAATTCCGATTTCCCTCATTTGGTGCATATATTCCTAAAATCAAAAACTTTTCTCCTTGTGTTTGTATCTCAATTGCCAAAATTCTTCCTTGCTCATCTTTAAACAAAAATTTCGGTGACAGGTTCTCCTTTGCATAAATCACTACGCCTCTTTTCTTGACTTTATCTGATGAAATAAATTCTTGACCTAGTCTTTTGTTAATTAACACTTTCCTATGGAGCCTAGTCACATGCGTTTCCTGCAAGCAAACAATATCCAATTGTTCTTTTCTCAAAATATGAAAAATCCTTCGTCTTTTTTCCGGGAGTTCCCGCCATTTATATTCCAACTGTACAGCTGCAGAGACATTCTGAATCAATCTGTTGTTCCTATAATGGGGTGTCTTCCTTTTCTTCTGGCCCCGAGGGTGTAGGTATCGGTGCTTTTCCAGGCAGTGGCGGTGGCCAAGAGGCTGCTGCTCCTTCTGAAGGTCTTCTCCGTGGTCGTGCAGGAACTTCTGGTTATCTTCTGATGTTTTAATCTTAATTTTCTTTCCTTTAAAATTAAAAGATAAACCTTGGGGAAACTCCCACCTATATGGAATCGCGTTTCCTCTCAGTAGTCTTGCTAGGTCTGTATATGTGGCTCTAAGATCCAAAAGTTGTTTAGGAATATCTCTATAAAATTCTGCTCTTTTGCCTTGGATATCAAGTGATTTCTTAAAGTGGAGGCCTAGTATTTTATCTCTCTCCTGCTTGGATCTCAAAATGATCAAACAGTCTCTGGGCTTGTCCCTCCTCACGACTCTTCCTAATCTGAACGCAGTTGTGATCTTAAAATCTTTGTCCTCTTCTATACCCCAGAACTTGGAAAATTCTGCTGTCAGATAACCAATTAAATCTTCCTGTTCAAGCTCTGGGATAGCTCTTAATCTCAGATTGTTTTCCCGATTTCTCAATTCCACCATAGACAGGTAAGCCTGCTGATCACTAATATGCTTGTGTAGTGGCCTTACCTCCCCTTTTATAGCCTCAACTTTTTGATTTGCTTGTTCTGCTTTTTCATTGGCTGCTTCAGCCAGTCTCCGATTTTCCACAGTTGCTTCCTTGAGATTCCCAATAACTTGTGTATGTTGTGCAACTTGGTCAGACAATTTAGTAATAGAGGATGTGGCTTGATCTATTTTTGCCGATTGGTCATCCACCTTCTTGTTCAATATTGCAAATTGTTCTAACATTTGTTGTAAGAAGGTATCTGATCCTCCCTCTGCCATATCCTCTGATGCAGGCTGTGCAATTTCCTTTTCTTGTACTCCCAAAACAGCTGGGACAGATGATCTACGTGACTGAGTAGTCAAAGTTGTTTGCACAAGTTGGGCTTGTCTTGCTTTCGTTTTCGCAGCTCTTGTTTTCGGTTGGCCACTCATTCCACACCTGTCTATGAGTCAAGGTCAAGCTGTATATTGTCCCATGGGAAGGACAGTTCCAAAGTGTAAATAACAAAGCAGCAGATAGTCCAAATAAAATTTGTTCCCAGGCACTTGTAATTCCAGAACTCCACTAGGGGGAGTATTACTGTAGTTCATAGAAAGGAAAGAACTTTATCCGCCATTAAAGTCCCTGCAGCCTCAAAACAGTCTAATTTACCAAAAGTTCTTCATAAACTTTTTTAGCTTACAGAGCACTTCCCAAGCTGCCACAAAGTCTCAGATAAAAGGTGCCAGTAACAGTTTATTTAATTGTATCTTGCCAGTATCACTCAACTGTAACAGTCTCTATTTTGGATACAGTTACCGCAATGACAGCTCTCTGTTTTTCCTGTCAGTCCGAGGTTTGGTTCTTAATTCTTTATAATCCATAAAGGGGAGGAAAGTCCCATTTAAAGTCCAAAACACTTAGAAATAAAAATCTTTTCTCCTTCTTTTTAAAAGCCAATTCTATCAACACGATAGTCCCAAATTTATAATCTTTTAAAACTGCTTCCCGCTTGTTAAAATCTTTGCCTTTGATCTTTGAAGCACTGCCGGAAGACGGACTTCCTGTTTATCGTCTCCCGCTTTCAGCCAAATTTAACACTTTTAGTCCCAAAATGATTGATCCTTACTCACGAGTAGGTAGTTTAGTGCCTGATGTTCCAAGAAGAAAGGTCGGCGCTCATCAGCAGCAGCCGCGCGGCTTCGCTCCCGCAGAAAGAGCGATGAACTCACAGCACCGCTCCCCCCTTCCACGTTTCCGGAGCCCCTTACGGGGTTCCTTCTTCGTTTTTGGGGTCGCTCCTGGTGCCCGCCGAGTCCCACGGCCACGGGCTCACTCTGCCCGTGGTTTTTCTTAATGGGTCACCGCTGTGCCGCAGCGGACGACCCTTTTCTGCGGAGCCCCTCTTCAGAGACCGAAGAGGACCGCCATTGCCGTTTCGCGCCGCCTCCAGGAAGTCCAATTTTCTTGTCCAATTTAAATGCCTCCATTATCTGATAATAATGAAGCCAGTCTCACACTTTGTTTTTTAATTTTTCAAAACTCTGCAATTTCAGTCTATCTCCATCTTGTTCCAAAATTTCCCAATATTTCGGCCATTTGACCTCCATATTGACCTTTTTCAAGGCTTTCGCTTCCATTGGTTACAGCCACCTTGGGGTTTTGTTTTCTAATAAAT